ATGAGCTGCGACATTAGGAAGGTTGAGAACCACTGGTCTAGATATATGTCCGAATCGGTTATACCTAATAGGTAAAATTCTGGCTTCATGGGGAATTTAATCTTAAGAATATGTTGGGTTGCGGCATGTATTTTCTCCCAAAATCTTTTTGCTTCCTTACAGGTCCATCACATATGAAAGAAACTACCCTCTTGGTCTTTACACTTCCAGCAATATTTTGTGTATTCTTATACATTAAACTTAATTTTCTTGGTGTGATGTACCACCAATGGAACATTTTAAGCCAATTCTCTTTTAAATCCATAGCGTATGTGTATTTTAATTTTCTATTCCAGATTGATTCCCATTCTTTGAGTGTTATTGTTCTTCTTATATTTTCCGCCCATTTTATCATGCAGCCTTTATTGTAAATATTTGTTTTCCCCTGACATTAAGTCCAGTCGTTTCCGACTCTGGGGTTTGGTGCTCATCTCCATTTCTAAGCCGAAGAGCCGGTGTTGTCTGTAGACATCTCTAAGGTCATGTGGCCAGCATGACTGTATAGAGCGCCATTACCTTTACCTATTGATCTACTCACATTTGCATTTTTTCGAACTGCTAGGTTGGCAGAAGCTGGGGCTGACAGCGGAAGCTCACGGCGCTCCCTGGATTCAAACCTGCGACCTTTCGGTCAACAAGCTGAGCAGCTCAGCGGTTTAACGCACTGCGCCACCGGGGGCTCCATTGTAAATGTAGTAATAATAATACAATTATTATTGTAAATATAGCAATAATAATAATAAATGCGGCTCACAATAAAAAATTACAACTTAAAATAAGCGAATATACAATAATAAAACAATATTATTATATATTTTTAATATATTATCTATACTACAACTTATGATAAAGTACAATATATTATATAATACTAATAGTAGAATATACTGGTAGTGTATTATATATATTGTGGTATAATATAGTACAGTATAATAATATATAATATAATTATTGTATATTAGGGTCCCCTGGTTGCACAGCGGTTTCAACCATTGAGCTGCTAATGTTGCTGACCGAAAGGTTGGCGGTTCGAATCCAGTGACCGGGGTGAGCTCCCATTGTTATGTCCAGCTTCTGCTAATCTAGCCGTTTGAAAACATGCAAATGTGAGTAGATCAATAAGTACTGCTTGTGCAGGAAGGTAAGGGCGCTCCACGCAATCATGTCGGCGACATGACATTGGAGATGTCTATGGACAACGCCGACTCGTCGGCTTAGAAATGGAGATGAGCACCATCACCACCACACCACCACCACCACCCCAGAGTCAGACATGACTAGACTTAATAACAGGGAAAACCTTTACCTTTAGTATTGCTACTGGTAAATTCTCCTATGTTAAACAGGCTTTTGCTGAGGAGCCGGACGATGTCTAATGTAGTATCAAACTGCATTAATTCAATAGTGTAAATGCATCCTTGGGCCCCCCTGGTGGTACAGAAGGCTAAATCGCTGACCTGCTTATGTTGCTGACTGAAAGCTTGGCAGTTCGAATCCAGGGAGCAGGGTGAGCTCCTGCTGTTAGGCCCAGCTTCTGCTAATCTAGCTGTTCGAAAACATGCAAATGTGAGTAGATCAATAGGTACCGCTTCTGCGGGAAGGTAACAGAGCTCCATGCAATCATATCGGCCACATAACCTTGGAGATGTCTATGGACAACACTGGCTTAGAAATGGAGATGAGCACCACCCCCCAGAGTTAGACACGACTAGACTTAATGGCATGGGAAACCTTTACCTTTAATGTTACCTTCAGGTAAAGTATAAAGTGCAAATGAAACATCATTGAATGTCAATGTCAGGGGATACCTTTATTTTTTATTATATAATACTTGAAAATGACCAGTTCTAACTCAGCCCTACACATTATCGAATACTGCTTTATTCTTCCTACCAATTACCCAGATCATTTCCTCAAATTGGCCCCGGAATGAACAGCCACAGACCCGTACCTAATATTATTG